GAGAGAGAGAGAGAGAGAGAGAGATATCAGGAGTGAATAATAGTAGATCCACTATATACTATCTACTAGATAGATAGATCATATATATATTATATAGATCATATATATATATATATATATATATGTATCTATAGATACGAACGAGAAACTGCACGTGTGTGACGCAGCGACGTCAGACGCTGATCCCAGCACCGACCCGACTCAGCGATAGCGGCCGTCGGTTTCTCTGCAACACCGCCAGGGGGCAGGCGTGTTCGGGTTCGTCGATGATCATGGCTGAGTGCAATCGACCAGACAGCCCCGAATGCGTACGCAACACAGGTGCAGACGTAACGTCAACAAACACAATAAGCGTCGGTACGGACCCCCTATATATAGCGACTGCTACGACAGAAACCTCGATTGATACAACAGAGAATAATAGAGAATTGAATATAGCCAATAACACCAAGAATATCCTCGTGGGCACTGGCACCAACACTCACGCGGAAACGAACGATGACGGAGAAAATCAACGTAATGTTGGTGGAATTCTCGGGAATGGAGAACGTAGTGAAACAGACCGTGCGAAAAATACACACTCCGTTACGGGGAACACAGAAAATCGTTTGCGAACGGATATAAAACTTGCCCGTGAAATGAAAACTGAGAGCGAATTAAGATCGAACATCAGAGCCAATGGCCGCGCTAATAGACCCAGTTCTACAAATAATGTTCAGACTGGGTCGAAAGATGGAAGCGTTGGAGCAGAACGAGGCGCGCCCACCAGGCTGCGAAACACTGACAGGGGTATGCGCATGCGCAATGCGTTGTTTAATAGTTATCATCGTGTGTCAGCTGAACTTGAGGTCAAAGACGTCACGACGATGTTGATTGATTCCTAATGATGGCGTCAGGTCATTAGACTCACTGACATTAATAGACAGTACGCGATGAACAGCAGCAATCAATTTACGTGATTAGGTATATTTGCACTAACAGATTTTTAAACGTTCACAGCTGCGGTGCTATTCATCCGGAATGGTCAAATTACGCAAATGAACTTTTTTTTTGCCGTTAAAACGACGTCGATTTGCCGTTACGGACGATGTTAATTATCACGCACGCAAGTCTCATCGAACAGCGTGAATAAATAGCTCGAGACGTGACCTGGACCGAGACCCCAATTTGCCCAAGTAGTTTGCTTAGATGTATTGCTTCATTAACTAACTCACTATTTATATTAAAACAACCTTGACGGCTAAAATTTGGCGATATATTTAATATCATCAGTTATATATTAATCGGTAAGTGAAATAACTGTACAACCTAATATATTTGATCAATGCATACCGCTCGTAACAGTCATGACGTATTTACCTAAACGGATAGATATACACCAATCGCGCGAACCTTGCAAGCATTAATGTAGTACAAGGAACAATCTGTTAGGGCCGGATCGTACTTGGATAACGTGATCCTGAACTGCTCAAACTAATGCAAATGCGCTTCCAATGGGTCTGGTCTTGCTGCAAGCTATCACAGGATAATTCATAACTAGCAACAAGCAGTCATTGGCTAATGCCACCATGCCGGATCCCCTTCGATTCAACCTCGCCAGAGAAGCGTCAGCAATTCGCAATTTGAATCAGTGTTTGACCAGACAAACGCACACGATCATTCGATTCGTGGGATCTGGATTTGGATCATATATGATCCGTCCAAACAAACACACCTTATAACTATATTTATTAGACGTACATAGCGCTGTACTGTTTATTGAATCCAGTGTGATTACCGTTTACCACGATGTGATTACTATATAAGATCAGATGTAATTAGTTATTATATATATAAGATGTAATTAGTTATTGAGAGACGATATGAAATCTACTGTGAACCCCAATGCCACACCGACGGCTCCGTAATATATTGATTGTCGTGTATCTTACGTTGTTAATTAGCGAAACAAATTTACGTACAACACGTGTTATATATTGTTGTTTTACACCGTTGCTTTTCTGGCAGTTTTTTCATGTTCATTGTGTTAATTTAAACAAACTATTATACATGCCATACTTATGGTTAAATGTTGTTTTTAGTATTTATACTATTCATTATGTTAAGCTACAATTATTTATAATATTATCTACTTGCTTGTTTAAGTAATACTGTTTATTTATTCGTATGCATGCAGTGATTCAGCTCGGATGATATATATTTTGTTATATTTCTATTTACATCATAGTTCGTTGTTGTAGGAGTGTTATATTTAAGTGTTATCTTGGGATGGAATAAAAGCGTGTTATGTTGGCGCAGTATATTTATTTCCATATGTATGAATTACAATAAGTTTACCAACTAACCATACCATGGAGAGGTACAATTTTGACTAACTCGTGTATTCCGGGAGAAGCCGTATGCTTGCCGATTTATGTTAATTTTATTTCCGTAAACCAGCCATAAACGATTTGTATTTAATTGAATATAATTATACTTGTTATTGTTTTTGTTCTACGTGGCTTGCAATACACGCCCGAAGTAGCGATGTTATAGTTTGACGCAGCTTTTCTCTCATGTTGAAGTATGAAGCGGCTGAAATATTTTTGCCAAGTACGAAGCGACTGCGACCCCATGATTCCCTCTCGAGCTGGGATAGATTGGTGCCGAGTTTCCGCGCAAAAGAAACGGAGGACCGAAATTCCACGAATATCTGCCGTACATCACCATAACCGTGTCAGGAGTGAATAATAGAGATCTATAGAGAGTCTATTATTCTCTCCTGACCGTATCATCACTGTGTATTACAGACGCACATAGAGCAGCCTAGCACAGGTGATACAAGGTGGTAAGATCTGGCAGGTAAAACAAGCAATACGACTACGCGGGCTGGTGACTTAAGGTGATAGATGGAACCGCCCGTATCTGTGGAATTGTGTTAATGATCGAGTTCAAGCGTGCGGAACTGTTTCACTGATATTCGCAGTCGTCGATTCACTGCAACTGGTTCATATGGTGAGACGCGACAACAATTCTTTTCTGCGCCTTACGTCGACTGCTATGACGACGACAAGGGCTCGTCTACAACCACAGATGACAGATACTCATCGATACACATACGTCGACAGCTAAGTCTAGGCGTCATGTTGCATATAATGTCAGGTCCGGTGACATTCTGCCCTACCTAGAGCACCTTATGGCCTTGTCTGGTTCTTGACTTCATTTGTAAAACTGTGCTCTTCGTGTTGGCAGTGACTTTACGCGCGCATGCTGGAGCTCGCATTCGCATCATGAAGGGTAAGTTCGATTGTAGTGATACGCCTACGCGTAGAATCAACTTAACGCACTGTGTGTTCCTCGCTGTCGTCCAACGCTCTCTTGTTTCTCATTGCTGTTAGGTGCGTTCTATTTTCATCCGCGGCCGCTATAGCGTCGTACACTCTGTTTTTTTCTTCGTGTTTTTTGGTTAACGTGCGACAATTTCTGCTAGCGCCAGACGTCAGCGAGCGCTTTGTGGTCGTCTCATATTTTTAAAGCCGCATACAAATCGTTGACGCAGCGTACAAAGACTGCATGCGTGCTGCTAGTGTGTAACTAAAACGCGTGCTTTTAGCGACGAGCACCTGTTTGCGCACGCCTTGCGTTTGCATTAGATTTCTGCTCAGTGCAATTAGCACCAGCTGCAATGTGCACAGATCATGTGCACCTACGACGTTTCTCCCTTTTAACCATCAATGGTATTAAACATGTGTAATGCTATACGTTTCTAGTAAGCTGCAGATTTATACTGACCATTCAACGTTCTTTACAGATGTTAGCCTGTGTTTATACCTGCTCTATTTTTCTTTCTCTCTGCTATGTAGGAAAGGCGGCAGTCATTTGGCTCGCTCTGGTACGTTTACTAATTGAGCGCAATATGTTATTATTATTATTATTATTATTATTAGGAATCTTATAACCACTTCCTATAAACGTGGCACAATAGGCTTGATACAATAATTTTTATAACTGTAATACTATACGTCAGGCGACAGTTAAAACCATTGTTCAATCACAGAAACTATGTAAGCGGGCTTAATTGATGATTCAGTGTAATACTAGCAACTTAAGCCCGGCGCACACGTGAGTTATTTTACTCAAGTAAAATGACGCATGAGTCATTTTACTCACGTGTGCGGCGGATTTTCGTTGAGTAATTTGACGCATGCGACATTTTACTCAATATCTAACGTGTTTGATAATTTTTGACTCATGCGTCATTTTACTTGAGTAAAATAACTCACGTGTGCGCCGGGCTTTACACTGCAACTGACAATTCAACCAACAAGCATGCGATAATTCGCTGTACTAATCGGTCTATCTCACTCTATTTTCTATGGTGGATCTACTTCTTAACAGGTTATGAGCCACCATGTCATTGGTCAGGGACTGAGACAGCAAGGCGTGGGTCAATTCGGTGCACGCCAGGGAGGCATAGGCCAGCGGGGCGTGGGTCAGGGAGGCATAGGCCAGCGGGGCGTGGGTCAGGGAGGCATAGGCCAGCTCGGGATAGGCCGACAAAGCGTAAGCCAGCTAGGTGTAGGACAGCGAAGCGTAGGCCAGCTAGGAATAGGCCAACAAGGCGTAGGCCAGCTAGGAATAGGCCAACAAGGCGTAGGCCAGCTAGGGAATATGGCCATACAAGGCGTAGAGCCAGACTAGGAATAGGCCAACAAGGCGTAGGCCAGCTAGGAATAGGCCACAAGGCGTAGGCCAGCTAGGTGTAGACAGCAAGGCGTAGGTCAGGTAGGCATAGGCCAGCGAGGCGTAGGCCAGCTAGGCATAGGCCAGCGAGGCGTAGGTCAGGTAGGCATAGGCCAGCGAGGCGTAGGCCAGCTAGGCATAGGCCAGCTAGGCATAGGCCAACAAGGCGTAGGCCAGCTAGGTGTAGGACAGCGAGGCGTTGGCCAGATAGGCGTAGGTCAGGTAGGCATAGGCCAGCGAGCCCTAGGCCAGCTAGGCGTCGGTCAGCAACAGAATCAGCAAAGCTTAAGTCGGCAAATTCGTTTAAGTCAACAAGGAGTTGGTCAGCGCACAGGCTTAGGCCAACAAGGTCTGGGCGGCTTCAATCAGCAGACTAATTTTGGTCAGCAAGTCCTTGGCCGGCAGGCAGGATTTGGTTTAGGACAAACAGCTGGAGCTGGAAGGGTTCCTCTAGCACCTAATAGGGTAGGATTGGGAACTGCTGGCAGAGGGAATGTTGTACTCGGAGCTGATGGTAGGGCACCAATTGGTGGGGCAGGATTTAATCCCTTTCAAGGCGGAGGGGGCTTCCAGGCGCAAGGACCTGTAGGACGACAGGGAGGGCAGTTCTTTGGTTCTGCGCCAATATCACAAGGAGGACGATTTGAGTATGTGTTAGTACTTTTAAAAACAAGAAAAACTATTTTGCAAGAACCAACACTTACACTTACACATATGTTATTTTTTAAACTGACTTCGTTGTGTACATAATGATATCGATCGATAATATAACGTTATTTACGATGTAAAATTTGAATCGTTACTGCTGTGTATAATTATGCATCTACACTAACCGTTACCAGTGATATTATATCGGTACAGATGTTAACGATTAATAACACTATGGATACATTTATTCTATTCTGCATAATGATTTAATAATGCTATAAAATCTTAATAGTTAATAGTTTAATAGGTAAGATGAGCCTTGTCTTTTTTGCTACTAATTACTACGGTAATGTAAACACATATACGTTACAGCGACGATTTCCAGGAGTTTCTACATCGTCCTCCCTATCCCTATGACATTCACTACACGGGCATAGGTGCAAACCTTGCTGGCATCGGTATCAGACTGTATGACGGACCGCATGGCTTTATAGCCATTCCAGAAGTCTATCCTGCGCCGGAGGAGGAGGAAGAAGAAGAAGAAGAGGAATTTGAAGCCGAAGAAGCCGAAGAAGCCGAAGAAGCCGAAGAAGAAGAAGAAGTATTAGAAGAAGAAGAAGAATTAGAAGAAGAAGGGGAAGAAGAAAACGAAGAACCGGAAGAAGGTAGTGACATGGGCGAAGTGTCAGCGATTACTCCCCCGGGGTACTACGGAACGTCCTCATATCGTTCGCTTCCGTCGACTAGGTACGAACAAGCTGAGCAGGACAGATCAGCGACAGAAACAGAAGATGAGGATGGCGCGTTGATTTGCTACAAGGGTCGCTGCATTCGTCGCGAGATTGAGGTGGCAGACGAAGGCATGGAGTCTAACGATGAAGACGACGATGAAGAAGAAGACGAAACGGCTAGTCGAGAGGAAAACGAACCCTCAGAAGAGAGCAACGATGACGGTTATGACTCCGGCGCAAGAGAGGCTGCCGATGCCGCAATCAGAACTCGCAATGCTTTACTGCGGCCTCCCCCATATCAACAAACTGGCTATAGAGCGGCAGATCGTGGAATTTCCGAAGAAAGACAAGACGATGAGGATGACGAGGAAGAAGACGAGGAGGAAGACGAAGATAATGTGGAACCAAGCAATGATAATGGAGTCAGAGTCAAACTGGTCTGTGATAGAAGTGGCTGGTGTTACCCTAAAGTTACTGGGCGGGGGAACGGATACCCCCCAGAAGCCATAGAACGTCGTAGGCTTCGCGCAACTTATACAAGTGACAGGGGTGTCAACGGCGAAGAAGAAGGAGAAGAAGAAGGCTCTAACGGGTATGACAGATATGCCACTGATACGATGACGGTCTGTTACCTCGGGCGTTGTTTACCTCGGAAAGTGAGTGCCAGTGACGCAGCAGCAATAATGGATTATAACCGTTTCTCTACACCGGGGAACATAAGACTGTTTGATCAATTGCCATTTATGGGAAGGCTACAGCCGCCCTTGGGCACGCTGCCTACCCTGGATAGCGTTTTTGGGAGAGATCAGCGAGAAAGTAAAGCTACCGAAAGTGAACGTGTAGAATCGAACGAAGGTGATACAGACGAGGGCGAAGGTGATACAGACGAAGGCGAAGGTGATACAGACGAAGGCGAAGGTGATACAGACGAAGGCAAAGGTGAGCCACCGGGTACGATCGTCTGCTTCAACGGACGCTGCTATCGTCGCATTGCCGAGGAAGATGCTGAGAACATCAGTGAAGAAATGGAGCAACTCCGGAAAGTAGAAGATAGAAGACTGAATACTATGCAGGAGCCACCTCTATTCGGCGAGAATTCCGAATCTGAGTTGTCGTCTGCAGATCACGAATCTACTGAAGATGAACTGTCCAAAGATGGCGCTGACATGATGACGCTTTGTTTCCGCGGGCGCTGCTTTCGCAAATTAGTAGAGAGCAGTGACGTCACGGCCTTAATGAACGACGAGCAGATGCCACCAGCGGATTTCCTAAGTGGATTCAACCCTTTTGCACCAAGGACCGCTGAAGCTCGGACCACAGGGACACTTCACGCCCTGGACGTTGTTAACGTGTTTGAAACACGTCGGGGATATAGGTAGGGGAATGTATGTAATATGTATGAATGGGTGGAACATGAGGTTAGTTGAAACATGACTGAAACGATTATTGATTTATTTGAACACAAATTCGTTGTCACCAAGAGGGCTAAGTCTGTAATGTGTAATTGTATGTGGTTGGACAACAAGAACATTCTACTTCAAGACGATTGTCTGTATTTAAAACAATCACTATACAAATGAGAAAGGTTTATACGTTTTTTTGTACAATGAGTAAACCTTGAACAAAATTGGAAAATTAGTGTTGCCTTAATTATTATTTTTTAGTTAAACATTACCAGTAGTACAAGTAATTTACGCACTAATCCTATGCGATGAACCTAAAGCAAGATAGATCGGTTAGAGACGGTTCTAAATCATGCAGTATCTAAGCACTTGCTCTCTTTCCACTTTGGAGATATTATCGACATTAGATAGACAATCAAAAGATTTCCAATTAACTCTATCATTTTCCTTTTTAATTCGGTATGACGGTTCCCATGCAGTTGTTGGCCTATTGCGATGACGAGTGGGCTTCATATATACAGCATTGGGAATCATTCTAGGACACACAGATATTATACTATATTTACAGGGCTAATCCTAGGTAATCAGCAACACATTGTGTGATACACACTTGAATAGGTGTGCGGTTAGAAAATCCAGTTGGCTTGCATATTTACAGCATTGTATATGTTAGCCAGGATACACATCGGTTCACGTAATAGAGCATATAAATCCCTCACGCAACACAAAAGAAGAATAACATAGAGAACTCAAATGGAGGTTTTTTTTGCTGCGTTTGCGCATAATTCAAGTCAATTAACTGTATTTTGGACATTTAAAAACTGCACTCTGAGCGAATACGTTCATAATATGTTCGACTCATTTTTGATGTTTGAAACAAACATAAATTCTACTAATAATATATTTTCTAACTTAGCCCTTACCATGTTTCAACTAACCCCAATGGTGATGTTCCTTGGAACGTCCAATGTAATTTGCAATGTAGGTTATATGAATAACCACCACCTAGTATAAATCGTTTATAAAATACCTTTGCAAAGTTCGTGTATACACGTGTAATTGTACGGTAATGTTTTCACCATATAAACTATGTTATGTAGTATGGAGAGTTTTCTGAAACTAGTTCCAAGTAACCCACTCTCCACAGCAACATCATCCCAGTGGGAACTCCGTATCCGAAAAATAGAAAAGCTGCGAAAAGAGGAGATGTCGAACCAGACAAGCGTAATACAGATGAGGTTAGAAAGGATGCCCCACGTGACACGATCGCCTGCTTCAAAGGACGCTGCTACTATCGTAAGGTTGAAGATGCTGATGAAGCCAATAACAAACAAGCTGAGGAAACACCTAATGATGAAGAAACACTTGATGATGAAGAAACACCTAATGATGAAGAAACACTTGATGATGAAGAAACACTTAATGATGAAGAAACACTTGATGATAAAGAAACACTTGAAGATGAGGAAACACCTGATGATGAGGAAACACCGAATACTGAGGAATCACAAAGTGCGGATGCAATAGAGAATGTCTCTAATAGAAACTACAATGACAAAGATGGCGATGACATGATAACACTTTGTATTCGTGGGCGTTGTTTTCGTCAACTAGTAGAGCGCACTGCCGAGACTGCAGCAAGGAATAATAAGGCGCTATCTAAGGCAGACAGCCTAACATTGTTTAATCCTTATACACCAACAACCACTGAAGCCCCGACAACAGAGACAGTTCACGCACTGGACGTGGTTAAACTCGTCGATGTTCTTCTTGCACAGGGGGAAAGCAGGAGCAGGGCAATACAAAACTTGTACGCAAAAGAAAAGAAATCTGGCAATAGCGAATATGCTGAATCAGACAAACGTGACACAGATGAGGAAATACCAAATGAAGAAATAGAACAAGCGCAGAAATCTACAGACACAAGAGAAAACAGTTTAAG